TGACTGGAAGAGCGCTGGCTCCAGGGAGGACACTATTTCTGTGTTTAGGATCCTATTCATGCCTACTGTGACTGGCATTGTAGGAACTGAATATTGCAAAAGAAAAAAGACATAAAACAAAATATTATTAATTGTTATTATTATTGCACTGAATTATGGACTACCAAGAGAGATGATATGGAGCCTGTTCAAGGAAAATAGTCTTTTACCATCTGGATAAAGCAAATCAAGTGACAAATATTGATATTAGAAAAAGATAAAAATGCTTTTGCAGAAAAAGAGAAAATACCATTGCAAAGGGAAGGCATGGAGTCATGTTACCACAAACAAGTGTATGTGTGCACCTTGCCTACAAGCCACACAGCCGTCAGAGTGCCCACTTAACCCGTTAAGTGCTACTTTTGTTTACATATAGGGTACCCCTAGAGGTTACAAAAAAAATAATTTTTTTCTCTTATCTCAAACAACCCAAAATCATTCAAGAACACAAATGAAAACCTTTAAAGGGTCAGTCATTTTTAAATCCCCGTGCTAGGCTGCCAGACTAGGACTCCCGACCCCTGCTATTGCCACATTTTCTCCCTTCGCTTCTCATGCACTTCATATGCTGTCTTCCAGCATATTTTACATGCAGCCATTAGTGTATTCCGTAAAGCTATATACATAAACTGAATAAACTCATTTCAAAACTTAATCATACAAATGATATAAATACACCCTTTGGCAATCTTATGAGCTGCCTAGTGAACATGCTGTACTTGTTTACGTATTTTACACGTCTTTTTCCTTACACTATTTCTATTTACATATTTCAAGCATGGGAAGGTTGTAAACATGGAGTAGAAGGAGATGAGGCAGCAGCAGCTACAGTGTGTAAAGGCGGCATGGTGGTGGCAGAGGGCCCCTCATGCTCATCGTCACTACTTGCCTCACTCTCAGAGTAACCTTTGCCAAATATATAATCCCTATCTTTATCACTATCATCTAGGGGGTCGTCAATATCAGAGTCCTCATCATCAATAAATTCTCCATTATTTTTGCGTGAAAACAATGAATGAATGCTGGGTGTATCTAGGGATCGGTAGCGTCTACTTACCATGACTCTAAGGACAGGTCTGGTGGCAGTAGACTACCCAGAATTCCCGCACCTTCTAGGGAAACCTCTGGGCGTACTCAATGCAACCATATTTTAGAAAATGTGTGGGCAATGAAGTGTCTGTATTCAAGGGATTAAGTATTCTATAATTATTATAAGGACCAAAAAAAAAAGAATTATGATTATATCTGTAAAAAACTTATTAAGTATATATATATCTATATTTGTAAAATATTTTTTGCTTCATTCATTTGCAGTTATGAGCTCAGCAAGCTAGAAGGAGTTGTAGGTAGCCCTGAGAAGCCTCTGTCTGATCTTGGAAAGCTTTCCTACCGATCATATTGGACCTGGGTACTTTTAGAGATTCTTCGAGATTTTAAAGGCACACTGTCCATCAAAGATCTTAGGTAAGTGGAAGGAGGAGGATAGTGGGCTGAGAATTGTATGGTTTTAAGATGTATTTAATGTTGGATAAATTAAGGGATACTCAGATTGTTTGAAATTGCACATTTTAATGCAAATAGAGTGATTGATCAATGTCTTAAGTACCAATATTATGTTGGAGTTAGAAATGTGTATATTTAATAAAGATGCAGAAATGACAATATTAGTATTGTTAATAATTATTTTTATTTGAGTGCGTCATAAAGTAAATTCTTTTTAGGATTAGTAATAATGTTATATTAGAGATATTAGAATTTGAATATCATTAAAATCCACAGCCAAATGACCAGCATCACGCAGCAAGACATAATTTCCACGCTGCAGAGCATCAATTTAGTAAAATACTGGAAGGGTCAACATGTTATATGTGTCACACCAAAACTTGTGGAGGAATACATTAATTCAGCCCAGTTCAAGCGTCCAAGACTAACAGTAGACCCTTCCCTTCTGAGGTATGTTTTTGAATGTTTTGTATAGTTTCTTGTTAAGAAGAAAGGTACAACTAGGAATGTGCTCAAAGATGAGAGTGAAATGCAACAATATTGATTATTTGTTTGCTATTGTAGGTGTTTTTGTAATAGTTGTTCTATTTATTGTGAGGTCTTCAAAATGTCAGATATTGAAGAATAAGCATTGTATTAATTTATGGAATAATACATAGTCTTGAGAAAATTCCATATTCATAGGTAAAGTTTCAGTAATAGATAAAATTATTGCCAGATAAAGACTGTGCAGTGTATGTAATGTGACACCACCCATTAGAAAAAAAATTGATTGAAAAAATGGATTTTAACACAACCAGACAGTCTTGAGTTATTTTTTTTAAACTAAAAAAAAGATAGCTTAAGCGATTTTCTATTCAGAATTATCTAGGATCATGTATTCAATTACTTCAGCTTTTATTTTAAAATTAAGAGGTTCATGAATAAGATTGTAAAGCCACAAGTGATTCATTAACAAGTTCGGAGAAAAATTAAGTGGGTATTTTTTGTAGGTTTATTAGTCTTGAATGGATGGGATACTATAGTCAGTAGGAAAAATATTTGTGATGCTTAGTGTTTGGAAGGGATTGATTTTATTGGATAGTAAGTAAATACACAAGTCTCACTCAATATTATTCCGATAAGGCTTTTGCTGCTTGCAACAGATTGTTGAGTAGCACTTTGTACATAATAAAGAGATAAAAACTGTTAATAAAAGAAAAGGAAATATATAGAATGGATATGTTAAATTAAAAGGGGCAGATAAAAATCACTTATTTGCAAAATGATAAAATGTGTTGCCATGACAATGAGTAATCTGGTAGGCAGCAAAACAGTAAGATGTATTGCCACATGAATTAGGAATCTGGTAGGCAAAATTGTAAGGTGTGTTGCCATATGAATTATTAATTTGGTAGGCTTCGAGAATGTTTTTGTGAAAACTGTTGATATATTTTTTTGTTCCATTCTTCCAGATGGTCGCCACCCAAGAGACAACAAAGCCAGAGGAAAAAGTAAAAACACATGTATTATCCTTCCCATCATGTAAAGTTTATGTGGATGCAGTTGGACATAGTTTTATTTGAGGCAAATTATTGTACAGTATATATGAGTATGTACCTGTAGGTGTTTATTTCCAGTGTATGATGATTAGGATAATACAATTTTACATAAAGAAGGGAGGCATTGTTTAAATTTCCTGAAGTATATTTCATGCTGATATTGTTGGCTTTTTGAGGACACAATTCTTAAATTTGAATTATTTCAGATAAAAGTGTAACTGCACTGAAATTCTATTCTAAATCAAACAATTGTATTTTGTTTAATAAGAGTCAAGTAGTGACCAGTTTAAGTATATATTTTGAGTATGTCATTTAGACAAATTTATATGCAGATATTTCACCTATTTGGCATAACATTAGAAAATGATGTTATTTAAATCTAACACTTGATCATATAAATGCTTACTGCTAATATGGCATATCATAGTGATATGATAAGTGAGGTTGCTGTAATATTTCCTGTTTCATTTTGATATTTCATTTGATACTGAGCATGAAAATATTAAAATCTTCCCTTCAGCTTTCAAGGAGAAAAAGCATGTGGAAGAAACTGGTTGGCTGGCCAAGTAAGGCTTTTACAAACATATTAGTACAATTAATTGTTATCATAAGAAGTACAGAGAATACCCAATGACATAGATTTCCCTTTTAACTTCTAATGTTAACAAAAATAAATGTAGTTCTGGGGATTTCTTTTTTATTCCTTTTATATTCTGCAAATATGAATGGTTCCTTTTATTTGTCAAGAAAAAGAAATTATGTATATAAGATCAAATAAAAGTTCCAAATTACTTTCTGCAAATTTTGATACATTTACAGTTTCCTTGAACTGAAACAAATCTTTTATTCAAACACTTATCCATCTAATAGTACTTATTTGTTCTATAAAGTTTCATAGGTCATGCCTGTAAGGTACGGCCAACAGAATGTACCTGAATAAAAAAATGATTGAAAGATTATGTAGTAAAACTGTTGTTGTCACTCTGTCTTTTCTTTTCTCAGAATCAGATACTATGTAACCTCTTCACCTATTTGTTTATCTAATGGTATACAACAATAGCATTCTCTAGTATGTATGTATGTATCTATGTACTCTTAAGTATGTATATTTGCATGTATGTAATGTATGCATGTATAAATGTGTGCATGTATGTATGTATGTATGTGTGTATGTGCACATGTATATATGTATGTATGTATATATATAGGTATGTATGTATGTATGTATGTATCTATATATGTATGTATGCATATGTGCATGCAAATAAGTACATATACAGATAGAGAGCAATTCATACTAGCAACTAGAAGAGCAACAGAGAAGTTGGTTGCTACGTTAAACTGTATATAACCTTGTCTTGCCAACGAATGAATAGCCATATCAGTTGTAATTCACTTTTCTTTCTATTGATGTTGATCAGAGCAAGACTTTTTTATTTGTAGGAATTAATAATCATCTTTCTACTTGTACAGTATATCTTGAATTGGCTGCACTTATTACATTTGACAGTTTTTGCATCAAATGTGTCATGTATTGCTTATTGATGATCATGATAATAACTTTTATTATTTCTGTTATTATTATTACTATTATTATTATATTATTATTTTACTGAATCTACTTATTGTGTGTTTTTTCTGTCCTGCATCAGTTACCTCAACGGTAACTTAATTCATTTTGTGATTATTTTATCCAGTTTTTGGATACCTTTTGGTTGTTCCAGTTGCACTTTCTGTTGTTGATTAAATTGACCTTAATGGTAGCACTTTGTTTAATGATTTTGAGATTTCTTGATGTCAAAAAAAAAAAAAAAGTTTTTGATTGTGCTTCATACTGTTTGATATATAATTGTAATTGTGATTAAAATTTGAAATCCCAGCGAGGCCAGTGTATGGAGGGTACAAATAAGAGAACTA